TTATTTATTTCATATACATTTTAACCTTCAAGATAACTCTTATTAGTCAAATATATCAAGTAACAATTATATGACTTATTTGGATAAAATTCAGACAATGTTCATCTTATTTAGAAGAAATAACTAAGACTTTTACAATAAAGCTCATATACTAGTAGTCACACTTTTAAAAAACTATGCTGTTTACTATTCAGCCTATTTACATGCATTAGCTTTCTAAGACTTTACAAAATGAATAATACTGTTTTTCAAGTAACTGTCAACCAAACAAGAAAAATCGTTTTTAAATGTTTAGAAAATAAAGGTTATTTTTTAAATCCTGTAAATGCTTACTTATAGCAAAATGCTTATTTTTATTTTAAAAAGAATTTTTTGAGACATGATCTCATTATGCAGTCCCCTCTGACCATGAAAGAAGAAGCCAAGAGTAGCTTCAAATGTGTGATTTTTTGCCTCAGCCTCCCAAGTGTTGGGACTGCAAGCGCGCACCATCACTCCCGTCCACATCACGTTTTTGAATGCTAAATACTTATGGAGAATGTACCGAAAAAAAGACAGCTATGTGAAAACAGAAAATTAAGAAAGAATAGAAAGGGTATTTTTATCATTATTTAACCATGGTCTTTCAATTTGTTATCAGAATAACTAATAACTGAACATATTACTACTTTTACTGGAGGAAAATCCAGAAATCATTATAAAATGTACATAATGGATTATCTTGATTTAAATATAAACAGAACTATGCAAATTTCTGGTTAACATTAGGATTTTTTATAATTCTTTGTGGGAACTAGTAGAAGAAATATAGAATGGTAGCAGTTTGAGAAATCTGAGATACTAAATGGAAGAAAATTCATTTAAACATATGAAATTTGTTCATAAATATGTCTACTTCTAAGTTTAATACACGATCTTCAAACCTAGGCAGAGGTGATTTCTTTGGATTATTACCTACCTACCTTTGGTATCATTTCTAGCTATTATCAGTTCTCTATTGTAAATCTGAAAACAAGTCATTTTAATTTTTTCAAGTTTGGCCTAAGTGTCTCTCATCTCACCAAAGACCAGTCTAGATTCAGTCTGAACTTAGTCATCCATCCACTTAGCAATCGATGACAGGGGAAGTGATGAATATGAAAGAAGAGAGAAAGAAAGCACAGTTGGAAAGGAAAATAAAGAATAAAGACTAGAAGCTCAAAAGTAAATGGGACAAAGATGGTAAGATAAGAAAAACTTTCTTTCCAGAAGACTGCTGTCACAGATGTGTATAACAAAAAACTTCTGGTTATAAGCATTCATAGCTCATATAGAAGACTTTTAAACCAAAAATGTATAAAACATATAAGATCATACCCACAAGTCTACCAGTGTTGACGATCTAGCGAGTGCTCAATTAGTACAAGTGAGACTAAACCACTCACCTTATCAAGTTCACTTGTCAACTTTTTATTTTCTTCAGTTAGTAACACTTTTTCTCGCTCATATTGTTGTTTGAACTCATTTTCAAATTCTTCCCTTTCACTTTGACTAACACAGTTCAAAACATGAAAGGAAAAAAAGGAATTTCAACTGAAAACTTAATTTTTTGTAATAGTTAATATAATAAATACATAAATATCAGTTTGAACTACAGAAAAATTACTCAGAACTCAGCATGATTGTATGCAATGATAAGCCTGCTAAAAGCACTTTTGAAGAATTTCTAATACAGTAAAACTGACTGGTTCTTTCATCCATTTAAGAAGTATTTATAGAGTATCTACAAGGTGCTGAGGAATTGCTGTGGGCTTGACAGATATGCCCTGCTCTCTTAGAGCTTATATTCTTGTAAGGGTATGATAGGCAATGAAAAGTGTGTAAATGAGCTAATTTCAGATAAATTCTATAAAGAAGTATAATATATGATAATGCTGTAAATGTTATTTGGGATGGGTGGCTAATTTAGATGGTATAATCAGGGAAAATTTCATGAAGGTTAATAAAATCAGCTAACAAAATGAAACCAGTAATTTCCAACTGCTTAAGTTTAATCCAAAAACAAACTGACCTGGGACATATTAGACAGTTTTCTTTATGCATCTGTATCACAATATTCTTAGAAAATACAAAGTCATACGCCCTCAACACTGGGCTAGCCACTTCTTAGTTTTACTGATTTCATTCAGAATAGTATTCCATATTTTGTTAATATTTAGAAGTTAATTTGTAACTTTATAGAAAAGTTACAATAATGGTATAAAGAATTCCAGCATCCTCTTCACCCAGATTCCCCAAATGTTAACATTTCACTTCATTGCTTCATTACTGTGTACTTATTTCATTGTTCTTCAGAACTAATGAGAAGCAGTTGCAGATATACTTCTTACCTATAAATACTGTTATTTAGCAAAGCCAAGGACATTCTGACATAACCACTAAGCAACCTGCCAAATCCACAGAATCAAATCAAGTTTTCCCAACCATCTAATATTATTTTGTTTTCTACTTCTAGACTGGGTCCTGGAAACTTGGACCCACCAGTAGCCTACAATCAATGAGCCTGAGATTACTACTTTCCCAGTACAGAGTCTACTGGCTAAGGGAAGTGAAAATGTGAGAGATATCTATTACTGTGAACTGCTCAGTGACCCCTGAGGCCAATCTTGACAGCACCGAGAACTTTCCCTTCACCAAGGCATTAATTAATAAATACATTAGAAAGACGGAAGACTAGCATTCTAAAAAAGCACTTTGTTACGCGTCCTCTATATATGCAGGTGATTCTAGAAAATGCCACAGTGGAAGCGAGTTTATGGAAAGTAACCGTATTTCAAATTGGCTATCATATTGACTACTTTACTTACATATATCTTGAGTTACAAACCCCAATCCTTTCCCTTACATATGAAAGTCACACTCATGTGATTTTAGTCTATAGACTTGTCTGCTTTATAACATCCACTTATTTTTCACTTAAACATCTAAGAAATCCCCGTGACTACAGACATGCTGACCATGCTCATCTTATCTGATCATGCATGTATTAAGAAGTATTGGGAAAGGAGGAAGTTGGCGCAGGAGGAGAAGATACCACGGTATGATTCCTTGCTCTCAGCTCATAGAAAATTCACTGTGAAATTCCCAACAGTTCTCTCAATTCTCTCAATCCTTCTCTTTATGACATAAACATACATGACAAATTTAATATTATAAAACTTATAAACATGATAGCTCTGGGGCCGAAACTGATTCAAGGCTATGTTTAAAAGTGAACATAGTTCTAAAGCTGGTGTTGTGGTGCACACCTGTAATCCTAGCCCTCGGGAGGCTGAGGCAGGGGGTTACTGAGAGTTCAAGGCCAGCCTGAACTACTCAGCAAGACTGTCCCAAAGAAGAAAAAAGAAAGAAAGAAAGAAATGAACACAGTTTTAACAGACTTTTAAAAGCCTCCTAAGCAAAAAATGGAAATCAGTTTTGAAGACTGCATTGTCATGGCTATGACAATTTGATGGAGGATGTTAACAACAAATAAAGTAATCTAGGTAATTCCATAATTGCTGCCAAGTGAATAAAGAACGTGACGAGTGATCTTTTTTTTGGTTTTTTCTCCGGTACTGGGAACCGAACTCACGACCTTGCGCTTGCCAGGCAGGCACTTTGCCGCTGAGCTAAATCCCCAGCCCCCGTGACGAGTGATCTTAATTCCTTATACATCTAAATTACTGAACCTACATTAAAATGTAAATTATAAATTCAAGGACAAGAAATCATCCTATCTCCAAGCAAATACGTCACTTAAGTGTTAAATTCAGTTATGTTTAAGAATCTTCCTAACACAGAAATAACTTCAAAATAACAAAATTGCAAGTTCTTCAGAAAAATATATGCATAAATAAACTCAGTAAAATTTTTGTGTAAAATCATCCTTGGTTTTTCCTAACAGCATTAGATAAGTTTAAGTCTGTCTCATATTAAAACAAAACAAAACTCCCTATACCATGTCACACTTCATTTCCCACTTGTCTTATCTTCTTGCTCACTGGTAAGTATCTTGAAACACTTTGCTGTACTCTTTTTCACCACATAACTGCTCCCCACAACATTAGTATCTGTCATATGTTCCACCCTCCACCAAACCAGCTCTTAATGAAACTCACTAGTGACTTTGTTACCCACTCAATCCATCTTGGAAAGTGTGGTCCATTCTCCCTGTCATGAACTGCTGTCTTGTCTCAGCTTTGATGAAATCACACTCTCCAGACTGCAGACACAGTCTCTGGCTTCTCAGCAGTCTTTGTGAACTCCTCATCTTCCATCCTTCCTGTAGATACAGTGCTCCGTGGAACTCTGCCCCAGTGCTGTCTCTTCTCCTTCTCCCTAGGTAGCTCAATTGGAGCACCTGGCTTCACTCAGGATCTACAATGACCTCTCACCTCCAATTTGCATCTGACACTTTCCTGGGCCATAAACCACTGACCAGGTGCCTCACATTCAACATGCCAAACTCAGTATGAAAGCCCACCACATAAATAAGATCCTAACCTCCTATTTACCTCTATCTATGCCCATATTCTCCAATTTGTCTTCTACTACTACAGGTTAAAAGAAAATCTGAAAATTTAATTCTCCCCCTCTATACTTCATAGCTATTTCCTACTTAATTTTCATTCTTAGCATTTACCATTATTTATTATGTTCTATAATTTACTTATTTTATTGTCTTTTAATTACTCTTAGGAAAGCTCCATAAGGATAGTGATTTGGGGGGGCGGGGTTTGTTTGTTCACTGCTATGTTTACAGCAGTGCTTTGCATATAGGAGGTTCTAAAACAATTTTGTTGAGTGAATGAGTACACCAAATTGAGTATACTGAGGTTTCCAATACTAAGTTGACAATGATAGTAACATATACTCAGCTGCCTAAAATCTAGGTACATAAGTATTACTAATAATTTTTCCCACCCTTCATTTCTTGTAGCTGATTATCAGGTCTTGCAGGTCCTGTCTTCTAGATACCCTCTGAATCCATGCCACTCTTTCCAACTTTCCATCACCATCTGAGGACCAGCAGCTCATCTCTCACAGCTGGGAGATGGCCTACCTTCTGTCTGCTCCTTTTAAACAATTCTCCACAGAGTAGCAAGAATTATTGTTCAAAAATATAAAAATAACCATGTCACTTTTCTTCACTGGCCTCAGAATGAAGCCCAAATGCCTTGCATTAATTCATGATCTTGCCTCTATTTTCCTGTCTAGCCTTGTTTTTCACAACTTCCCCTACAGTAGACAGCTTTCATTTTCTAAATGTGCTGTTTCCCTTTCTCTGTATCTTAGCATTTTCTGCTACCTCTGACTACACTCTTTTTCCTTACTTACTTTTTAGGCCTCATCTTAGACACTGTTTTGTCCAAAAAGCCTAGATGTACCAGGCTCTTTCTGTGCCTCTTCTGTGTGTACTCATATACTTGTCACACTTGCTTTTCTACCACACACTGTATAGTACATACTATGATTTTCTATGTAAGAAACTTGACCTTGGACTCCTTGAGAACTGGGATGTTTATTGCCTATGTATCTCCGGAACTTGACATGTAACAGATACTTAATATTTTTATAACTTGATTCTTACCTTTCTCTCCTGGTTTTTTCCAATTTGTCTTTTAAAACCATAATTTCTTTGTTGAGAGCCAGTTGCTGGCCTTCTGAATCATGCAGTTCTTTCTTCAGATTTTTAATCTCATTTGCGTGTATTCCCTCTCTTTTAGATAATTCTTCTTCATAAAAGATACTTTTCTTTTCCAAATCTGTCTTCAGTTTGGTTATCTCTTGCTGGTGTTCTATGCTGCATACTCCTGGTGAATAACTAATTTGTTTTTGCTACAAAAGTGACAACGTAAGATTTGTTCATTTATAAAAATAATAACAGTAACTCCTTTCTATACTAGACTACACATACAATGCCCATCATTTTGTATATTCTCATACAAAAATAGTACTGTTCATGTATTTAAAGCTATTATTTATCTGAAATATGTTATAAGTATTTTCCTCGGTTCACATTCCTTTATGGGCTGTATCTTTTTTATTTTTAAGTCTTTATACCAAGATTACAGTTTATCTGAATTCTTTTTTGGAGACAGGGTTTTGCTAAGTCACCCAGGCTGGCCTTGAAGTTACTGTAGGGGGAGTGGGTACCGGGAATCAAACTAAGGACCTTGTGCTTGCCAGGCAAGTGCTTGTGCTGCTGAGCTAGATCCCCAACCCTGGCCTTGAACTTATGATCCTCCTGCCTCAGTATTCAATGAGTGCTGTGATTATAGGCACATACCACCATTTATCTGAACAATTTTATTTTTATTTATCTGAACAACTCTTTTGCTGGCACTTACATGATTTCTTGTTTTATGTTTAAATTCTGACTTAGAATTACTATTGGTATATGGAGGAAAAATCAAAGTGTATACTTTCATTTTTATACTTCATAAGGAACTATCAGAAAGTTTTAAAAGCACATTTCTGTTTTTATTTATTTTTTTCACATTTCTGTTTTTAAAAGATTAAAATGAGGGATAATGTATAAAAAGAAAAGAAGGGGGACTTTTGCAAAATAGGAAAATGACAAATGTCTATAGTAACATCCTCAATCCATACCATAAAAAATGGTAGGCCTCTTGGCTTTCAGGTAGGACATGAAGAAGGAGAAATCTGGTTGAAATCCACCCTCTGAGGAAACAGGTGAAAATGGCTTTTCAGTAATAAGAGAAAAGAAATGTAAAGCCCCGAGTCACTGCCACAGAAGTAAACCAAAACACACAGACCAGAGATTATGACTGCAAAACTTTCTGAGTTTAGTAACTTACAAAATTGGTTCTACCCTGTTTGTCCAGGTGAACAATAACAAAACTTTTGAAACTAAAAAATCTTAATAGATTTAGGTTTATTGACAAGTAATCTAGTGTTGGAGCAAACCTTGTTCCTTCTGAAGCTAGGTATAAGGGCAGAAAAACTGCAATGGCAGTTGATTTAAAATTGAAAGAAAAATGTCCTGGCTCCTTTACATGCGAGGTACATAATTTAAAAAGAACGGAGGAATTGATGTGGGCCAGCAAAAACTGCCATGATCAGGGTGGGGCGGAGGGCAGGGATACCCTTTGTAGTATTTAACCATTTATTAAGAAAATACTCAGTTGAGCTTGGTGGTACATGCCTATAATCCCTGACCAGAAGGCTGAGGCAGGAGGATGGTAAGTTCAAACTAATACTGAGCAACTCAGCAAAACCCTGTCTCAAAATATATAGATATATATAGAGAGAGCTGAGGATGCAGCTCAGTGCGAAGGCCCTAGGATCAATCCCCAGTATCACCAGAAAATAAAAAAATTTTTAAGAAGGAAAGGAAAGGAAAGCAAAGATGTATGTACTAGGTCCAGATTCTTCAGTGATTTCTGAAGTGGCCTGGCATGCAGAACTGCTCCAACTAAGAGCCAGAGCAAGTCAGATTCTTGCTCTTAAGCATCTCTGTGACAGTGCTGCCTAAACCGATACCCACAGAAGTGATTCTTCCAGTTTTTTAATCACCTGAGGGACTTTGCTGTCCTGTGTGGCTGGCTGTTAGGTTGGCAGCAAACAGCATGTATGAGAAATTTCAAAGAAAAATTCTCCTGAAATCAAAACCTAACAGAGACAGCATCAGCTAAAGTTAAGAGTTGTGTATCACTTATTGATAATAAAGTAAAAAACCAAACAAAATACTGAAAAATAAAACTATATAAAAATAATAGTTTTTACTGTAGGTAAGGAAGGTAACAATATTAGTGAACTTATTAATAAATGCATTATTTTTATAAATTAAAATTTTAAATGCAAATGATTTACTCACTAGTTACCCTTGCCTGAAATTGCAAATATTCCACACCCCACAATAAAACCATATAAAGGAGTTAAGTCTTTTAATTAAACAAAAAAGTATCCACTTTGAATCAGACAAAATACTGGTAAAACATCAAAGGTACATCCAATAAATTAAAAAATAATGTTAATAAGAAGGATATCTTCCATTCTCATTCATGTATAATATGAATTATAGATATCCTATCTGACCACCCAGTGAAACCATTAACAGAAATAAGCATTATAAAGAAAAGTGGTAAAATAATTTGTTTGTTTACCCAGAAAACATAAATGATATACTGAAATATAAAACAGAGTTCAATAAAGTAATATCATATAAGGTAAACACTGGTCAGCAGTACTTCTTTTTCAGTTTTTTTATTTTTTAAAGAGAATGAAAAATAATTAAAAAATTAGAAATGATGCAGAATTTCACTAAACAAGAAGATAGGAATTCAACAATGTTGTTATACTGCATATTGTTGTTTTCAAATTAGTTGATCATATTACCAGATATAAGCATGCAAAATTGGTCAAAAAAATTGAAGAGAAAAAAAAAAAGCATTCATTGTTCCTTTCCTAAACCAAGAGAAATCAGCAGTACAATTATCCCAGCTATCCTTGCATATGTATATATATTTTTTCCCTTTCTTCTTTCTTTTCTCCTTTCCCCCATCCCAGTTCCCTTTGAGCAGTTCCTTTCCCTTTCACAATATCTACTGTAGCTTTCAGATTTTATTTACTCTTTCAGGTTCTTACACTAGAACCTGCTTGTTTTTCCTTATTGTTGCTTACAATGCTGGTCTCATGTGAGAAGATGTCAGACATCCCTCTCCTCCTCCAGAGGAAATAAGAGGGTAGAAGAGTGGCAGCAGATTCAGAATCTTCCTTTCCTTTTGCCCCTGTCCTTGGAGTTAAAGACACTACCTGCTGTTTTAGGAAGCATGTGATAACACAGGGCACTGGAAAATTATGAGGACATACTGGGACATTGCAGATGAGGCTCAGTAAGCAGAGATCTGCAAATCCAGGGAAAGACAATATGATGTGTTATAGATGCAGGTCTGATTTATTTCATTTATGAGTATGGTCTTTAGTTGTATCCATTTACCTACAAAATTAGCAGTACTTCCAAATATTAAAATTAGCGTTAAGAGAATATGAATGAATAAAGAGTTAATGTAATAGTAGAATCAAATGAAATCAAATGCTAATACACACATACATAAGAAATAATAATAGAAATGTCTGACATATTAAAAAACTATTGAGTCTTTATAAAATGCATAAAAGATGGATACAAAATAGAACAATATCAAGAACTTGAAAGAGAAGATCAAATGTATATATATTCAATGTTTTTCAAATTTTCTTCTATGTAATTTTAATAAAAACTTCTTTTTAAATATGGAGAAGAGTGCTGGGGCAGAGCAGAGGATGGTGACAAATGTTTCTAGTTGGTGGTGAAGAATAAATTATTACGAATACCAAAGAAAATCCTAAAAAAGGAAAAAGGATATTCTTTGATATAAAAATCTATAATAAGCCTTTAATAAAGTGTCACAGTAATAGATTTCCATTGAAATAGCTTAATTCAATATATGCATAAAACATTTTAATTACTTAGGAAGGTAATGATTAATAAATGGAACTGAAATCACCAGCTAACAATAAAAGAACAGAACATCTTGTTCATACCATTTAGCAAAACAAATTCTAAATAGACCAAACTGTTAAGTACTTATAGATCCCACAGGACAATATCCAAAGGAAAGTAAAATTGAATATTTATAAAAACTCTAGAAAAGGGATAAGCTAAGCTTTGAAGTAATACTACAAATGCTGAGAAAAGACATAAGGAATTGTAAATTTTTTACTGTACTTAATTCTAGGAAAATACCCAGAAGGAGAATAGGTGGGGGAAATGGGACCTCTAATCCTAGTTTTTTGAGGAATCTCCACACTGATTTCCACAGTGGTTACACCAGTCTGTATTCCCACCAACAAGGGAGAAGTAAGTGTTCCTTTTTCCCTGCAGCCCCTCCAGCATTTGTTAATGGTTGATTTCTTGATGACAGCCATTCTTACTGGGGTGAGATGGAATCTCAGTGTTGTTTTAATTTGCAGCTCTCAAATGACCAAAGATGTTGAACATTTTTTCATACATTTATTTGCTATCTGTATTTCTTCATCTGAGAAGTGTGCTTTCATCCCAGATGCCCATTTTTGAATTTGGTCTTTGAATTGGGGGGGGGTGTCTAATTCTTTTCAATTCTTTATATGTTCTACATATAAGCCCTACAGCAATATACGTGTAACCATGTTCATAGCAGCACGATTTGTCATAGCTAAATCATGCAAACAACCCAAATGCCCATCAACCAAGCAATGGATAAAAAAAGATATGGTACTGTTATACAATGGAGTACTACTCAGATATAAGGAAGGATAAACTTGAGACATTTATAGGGAAATGGATGCAACTTGAGACCATACTTATAAATGAAATAAATCAGACTTACATGTATAAACATTATACTGTCTCCTTAGTGTAAGACGCTGAAAGAATAAATAAGATCCAAAATGTATCATAGATATTGTGAAATGGGAAGAAAATGTTCAAAAGGAAAGCAAAACTGGGATGGGGAAAAGGAGAAAAGAAGGAAGGGAAAAGGAAAAAAAAATATACACACACACACAATCGTTACTAATTGCTATTAGTTCACTGAAAAGAAAGGTTTGTGCCTATATTGTTTGATCAATTTTTCATGCCTATATCTTGTCATATGAGCAACTGCTCTGAAGATAACAATATGCAATGTACTAACCATTGCTACTCTCCTACAATCTTGTTTTTAAAATTTGTACCACTGTTTTTACTGTTTTTTCCATTAAATAAAAAAAGAACTACTTGAATAAAAGGAAGAATAAATGCAAAACTTTTACTGTATAAAGCATTTATATGTACCAATAAGGAAAAACATCAG